AGGAAGCCCCGGGAAGGCCCTCCCTGGCCCCAGGCAGCAGGGGTGGGGAGAGGCAGGGAGGAAGCAACTTACCCTCCCTCTTCTCCTGCCTCCTCCTGGCTGAATGAGGGCCGGAAGTGGGGCGGCCGGAAGCAGGGGGCGGGGCTTCGTCATGTGCCCCGCCCCCGTACCTCACCCGGGGGAACTGCGACCCCCCGCGATCCCCCCCCGAAATGACCTCTGGTTATGGTGCTTTTTGGTCTTCAGTACTTAAATATGCAGTCTTCAGTAAGCCTCATCATAAGAGATCACTCACACATCTGTTTATCTCAGTGTTTTTCTGCCCACTCCCCACATTGCTGTGACGCAGGGATTTTTCTGTATCACTTGACGCGAGCAGAAGCTTGGAAACCTTCTAATGGGGCTTAAGGGGCGGAATCACGGTAAACGAGACAAAGTGAGGAAACTGTGGCCTGTTGAGTACAGTGTCAGTGTTCTTCCTCCATCACTTTCTCTTACGGAGTGTAAACAGCATTAAAGCCAAACTCCAGGTGCATAGCTAAAGCTACAATGTCAGAAACGGCTATATGGGCATGTATAAATTCTTAATGAAATGTGGTGATGTGTAGCTGGGCTAGGAATAAAAGTTAACAGAAGAACACAAGAAGAGCCTTGCTGGATCAGACCAATAGTCCATCTAGTCCAGTATCCTGTCTCAGACATGGGCCAGCAACAGGGCATTGAGGCCGAGACCTTTCCCCTGTTGTTGCCTCTGGGCTTTGGGATTCAGAGGTTGAATGCCTTTGAATGGGGAGGCTCCCCTCATTCACCATGGCTAGTAGCCACTGATAGACCTCTCCTCCGTGAATCTCTCTAATCCCCTTTTAAAGCTGTTTATTCCTGTGGCCATCACTACATCTTCTGGCAGCAATTGCCACATTTTAATCAATCACTATCTAAAGAAGTATTCCTTTTTCTCTGTCCTGAATCTAGCATTTTGGGAGAGGGAGAAAAATTTCTCTGCCAACTCTCTCCACCGCATAATTTTATATACCTCTATCATGTCCCCCCTTAATAATTTCTTTTCTAAACTGAGAAGTCCCAAACTCTTCAGCCATTCCTCATAGGGGAGGCGCTCCAACTCCAGTCACCTCGGTCACCCTCCTCTGTACCTTTTCCAGTTCGGCAGTGTCTTTTTTTTTGAGATATGATGACCAGAACTGTACACAGTATTCCAAATGAGGGCACACCATAGATCTATACAGGGGCATTATGGTATTGGCCATTTTATGTTCATTCCCTTTCTTAATAATCTCTGACATAGACTTTGCCTTTTTGTCTGCTACAGCATGCTGGGTTGACACTTCTATTGATCTATCCACAGTGACCCCAGAATCTTTTCCCCTCTCTGTCTCAGCAAGTTCAGACCCCATTAGCCTGTACTTGAAGTTGGGATTTTTTTGTGTCCCTTGTTCATGGAATCCAAACTCTTTCAGAAGCAGACATGACAATGGCTGTTCATATATCTAAATCTTCTACCCCAATTGCCCATGAAGCAAACATAAGCAGGGTTGAAACGGAGACTGAACTCCTTAAATGTGGAGGGTCTGCCGGGGGTGGGGTGGGGGGTGGGGGTAAGCAGTTGATGAAAAGAGCTGTGTGGGAAGTAAACCACAGTGCAGCATCTATTGCTTGTGTGGACTCCTTTGTTCATTAAATTGGGCCTCTGCCCTCCATTTAATTTGTGATTAGGGCTAACCCACATTTTAGATGTTTTCTACTTCCATGTTTAATTTGTTCCTCAGTAGAAAACATGGGGGTTCTCAGTTTCCTCATAAGACAAACATGGTGTCAGTTCCTTGACCCTTTCCCTGTCCCATTTCCCTCCTACGAATACTTTCCCGAGGCTGTTTTTGCTCAGCTGAGCTCTGAACCCAGAATTAAGTGTGGCTAAGGAGAAATCCTTAGGGTAGGGGGCATTTTAAGAGAGAATTCTCAGGCACAGGAGGCATTTAACTTCCCACCTATTAGGCTTCCCAAGAAACATAATTAAAATTTGTGGTGTGGAGTGGGAAGCCAATTCTCCTCTTGTTTGGCTTGCTTATATTCATTTTCTTCTGTGCCCCTCCCAACTTCTCCTGTCTCACACCCTTACTTCCCTTTCTTCTTGGTCTTCACCATTGTCAGCATTTAGAATAAAAACATCTCAGGACATGGATCCATCTTGCTTTGAAACTTCGTTGTGTTTATGACAGATGTATGATGTGCCTGGCAATTCCTAATCATGTAGCTAATAGCTCATCTAAAGAAAGGCTTTTGTATTTCTAGTACAACCCCAGCATTAGTGGTGTAACTGCTGTCACATAGATAATTTCATTATTAGTCTGTAGCAGCGGAATAAAACAGAAATCCAGGGGCACTTAAAGAGGCAAGAGCCCCTTAAGTTAACCCTGGACTCCCATTTTATTCTGCCATCATGTCATTTGCTTTCATTTCTGTCCAGTCAACAGTATTCCCAGGTGCTATTTATAGAATTATTTTTGGAATTAACAAGTGACTTGACTAAAACAGTGCCTATCTAAAGTAAATGGCTGCTTCAGAATGTGCTCCTTAAAGTCTCTTTATAACCTGTGCTCTGACTTCCTCCGAGGGGTAAAAGGGTTTTCGCACAGCCACGAGCGCCAGCTATCCTGAGGGAAACTTGTTGTGTGTAGATTCCCTCCGTTGTGTGTAGATTCCCTCCGAAGTTTCCCTCAGGATAGCTGGCGCTCGTGGCTGTGCGAAAACCCTTTTACCCCTCGGAGGAAGACAGAGCACAGGTTATAAAGAGACTTTAAGGAGTCCTCCCTTTTGAAACTTTTATTTAACAGAGGAGGACTATTATTAATTATAAGGTTGTACAATAGCTTTTGAGATTCTTGGAGATGATATTTGATATTTTTGATAATCTCTTATATTGTGATTAATATGATTAATTATATATGTAGAAATTATTGTAAAATATTTTTCATAAAATATAAAATTATTTATGATATGTTATAATCATCTGTGCACGGTACTTATTGTATGTTGGTTTTCCTACTTACCGTAGGTCCTTGTTTGGTTTTGTGAATTGCTTCAGAATGTGCAGCAGTGGAGAAAACATCAAACTTTTAATATTTGCATTAGCCACAATGACTCATAAAAAAGAGTGGGCTTTAAAAAGAGGGGAATGACTTTATCTTATCCATAGGGTTGTCAGGCAGCAGCTGGCAATCAGTGCAAGTCAGAGGGGGTGCGATTGATACAACAGCATTATTTTGCTTCTAGGAAAAACGCAGGAAAAACCCGGATGTCATGCCCCTCTAAGAATCACCAGAAACTCTATGGTTTTACTATCATTTCCGCTAGTTCCTTGGGAGGCATTATGTTTGAGGTTTGCCCTGGAAGTGATGTTATGCTGTTGTGCAGACAGTGGTTTCTTTACTTTTCTCCTGCTGGAGCAGTGGCAAGCAATAGGACCTTAGGTGGAAAATCTCCTGCCCCCTGTGGGTACCTGGCAACCTTGTTTGCAAGTTTTAGTGACAAACAATGTCCGTAGCAAGCACAAAGTTTGAAAATTGCTCTCACAGTTCAGAAGTAGGGGAGGAGTGGTTTGACACTTTTGAGATGATTGATTTGTTAATTGAAATGCAATTAGTAGCAACCTGTTAATTGAAACTGGTCACATATGGGAAAATATTGATTGTATATAGAATGGAGAAAATTAGAAACGTTCTTTAAGTTTAAAGCTCAATGAATGCCGAGTTGTCTGTAATAGAAATAATAGAAAGCTTGTTTCTTTTTTTCTTTTCTGTAATTCATTGTTTTACAACAGAAGACTCTTAACAGCGTTTCCCTGGAAAATAGCACAAGGAATAATGAGCTGGTACTAACAATACAGTTTTTGTTAGCTGTGTTTTTCCAGCCAGATATTCTGTAAAAATTGGGGTAGGGAATCTGATAGAGCACAAGCTTTGTATGCAGAAATTCCCAAACAAAATCCCTGGCATCTCTGGTTGAAGGATCTTTGTTGCAAAAGCTTTTCTGTGTCTGCGAACATAGAAACTATTGCCGGCCAGAGCAGATAGCACTGAACTAGATGGACCAATAGTTTGCCTTGAGGCGTCTGACTACACATTACACATGCATTTGAAGATTAATTTCTTTTCCTTTATGGTAGTGGAGGAGATTTCATAATATTGCTTCTAGTTTATCTTGATTTCTTGAGAGACTTGGTAAGATCTGTGAGTAGTAGCAGATTAGCATACGGCATAGTAAAGGAGTTTACGACAGATGCGAAAACTGAATGAAGCCGTTGTGTGTAGTGCAATAAGAAATCAATATCTCTGTTAAGCCCTGTTAAGTTACCCACCTGAATCTACCATTGTGATGTGTTTATACTCAATTGTTTTACTCCTTCTAATATCTGTTGTAAATCATAAGCACTCACAGTACCAAATACCTACCTTAAGTCTAATAAATAAACCCATGTAAAAATGTTAGCTTCAGAATCAATAAAAATGTCACACCTGTCTCTAAAAGA